GTTCTGGTGCGAGAAGAAACCAAGCAGCAGAAACCAATCTATTATATCAGCAGTGTACTGCACGGAGCAGAGCTGAGGTATCCTATAGCTGAGAAAGCAGCATTAGCAGTTGTCACTTCGGCCAGGAAGTTGAGGCCATACTTCCAGTCACACCCAATTATCGTTCTCACGGATCAACCTCTCAGGCAGATTCTGCAGAAACCTGAGTGCTCTGGAAGATTAATTAAGTGGGCAGTAGAACTGGGGGAGTTTGAGATAACGTTTCAGCAAAGATCTGCAATCCGAGCTCAAGCACTAGCAGATTTCATTGTTGAATGCACCCCATGTCCTTCAATCCCTAATCCAGAGCCCAACAACTGGACCTTATATGTTGACGGGGCATCTAGTAGCAAGGGTTCAGGAGCTGGCGCTCTCTTGATTGGTCCAGAGGGATACCGAAGCGAACATGCCCTGAAGTTCAATTTTGATGCAACAAATAACATGGCTAAGTATGAAGCTCTACTACTTGGTCTACAGCTAGCATTGGAGTTGAAAATTAGTGCAATTCAAGTATACAGTGACTCCCAGTTGGTGGTGAACCAAATCAACTCAATCTGCGAAGTCGTTGATCCTGTGATGGTGAAATATGTAGCCTTGGTGGCAGAGCTGAAATGCAAATTCCAGAAATTCTGTTTAAGCAAAATTCCCCGAACTGAGAATGAACAGGCATATTTACTTTCCAAGTTTGCCTCTGATAGCTCTTTAAGTTCCAGATCCGTTTTGTGGAGGTCTTAGATGAACCAAGCTTCATGAAGCCTCGGATGATGGAGATTAGCACAAACCCTGACACGCCGAGCTGGACTGACTCAATTATCTCCTTTTTGCAAGATGGGATAGTACCTGAGGACAGGCAGGAGGCAACGAAGTTGAGGAAGAAAGCATCTCGGTATACACTTGTTGATGGGGTCCTCTATAAGAGATCTTTCTCACTCCCTCTTCTACGGTGTTTAAACCCTTATGAAGCCGAGTATGCACTTCGGGAGGTACATGAAGGTGTCTGCGGGAGCCATGTTGGTGCTAGAACTCTGGCTCACAAAGTCTTAAGGCAAGGATATTACTGGCCAAACATGTACAAAGATGCCACTTACTTTGTTCAGAAATGCCCAAAATGTCAATTCTTCGCACATCTGACTCACCAACCAGCAGAAGAGCTCACGAACTTGGTAGCACCGTGACCATTTGCTCAGTGGGGACTGGATCTTTTAGGCCCATTCGTGAAAAGGGTTGGTGGTGTAACCCATCTGGTTGTTGGTGTGGATTATTTCACAAAGTGGGTTGAAGCTCGGCCTTTATCTAGTCTTACTTCCAAGAAGGTCGAAGACTTTGTTTTCAGCTCGATCATCTGCAGATATGGGATCCCGAATCAGATTGTGGCTGATAATGGAACTCAATTCAATTGCTCCTCATTCCAAGATTTCTGTTCCAGTTATGGGATCAAGTTACAGTTCACCTCCGTTTACCATCCAGAGTCCAATGGCATGGTTGAATTTGTTAACAAATGCATTTTAGAAGGTATAAAGCCGAGATTGGAATAGCATAAGGCCAAATGGGCAGACGAGCTCAACAACGTCCTCTGGGCATACAGAACCACGAGCCGAACTGCCACAGGTATTACTCTAAACCGAGCCTATTTGATTAATTCTTATATTATTTTACTTCTTCTGTTACGCTTTACCTTAGAGCAAATATGCATGATGCATAAAGCACATTCTAAAGTTATAATTAACTGAAATAGGTGAAACACCCTATCATCTTGCCTTTGGTACCGAAGCAGTTATTCCTATTGAAATAGGAGTCCCAAGCTTCCGGGTCACCCATTTCAATGAAGGACGAAATGGACAGCTGCTTCGGGAAAACCTTGATCTGCTTGCTGAAGTCAGAGAAGAAGCTCGGCTTCGGACTCTTGTATACAAGCAGAAACTAGCCAACTTCTATAATAAACGAGTCCGCCCTTGAACATTCAAAGTAGGAGACCTTGTTCTCAGAAAAGCTGGCCTAACAGGGTTTGAAACTCGTTTTGGTAAACTCGCCCCGAATTGGGAAGGCCCTTATACCGTGGCCGAGGTACCACATCCTGGTGCCTATGTCCTCCAAGACGCTGAAGGAAAGAGAGTTCCTAGAGTCTGGAATGTCAATAACTTGAAGAAATTTTACCCCTAATAAAATTCTTTCAAGTGATCTATGTCTTACTGTTCTTTACACTTCTCACTTTGTGTTTGTTGAGATTCATTTTACCTCTTATTCTATGTATCTGAGGTCAATCAGTTCATTCATTCCTTGAACCTCACTTCTGTTAATAAATGTCACTTCACATATGAAGTACTTTATTTCCTTTTAATTCGTTCGTAATGCTGTACTTGTTCCTAATTTATATGAAGTGACTTACTTCTTCTTAATTCGTCTGAAGTGATTTACTTCCCTTTGGTTCATTCTAAAGTGGTTAGCTTTCTTTCAAATCAAGTCTCAAGTACTCTCAGTTCTTTTATTCATAAAAAATAACAAAAATATAAAGCAAACATAAACAAACATATAATTTCAAAACTGAATTTTCATTTAACGTAATAACAGTATTACAAATTTTTTAATGATTTTACAAAAAATTAAAAAAAAAATTATTTCTTTGCTGGGAGAGGTGGTTCCACTGGTTTCTGCTCAGCTGGAGGAGGTGGCTGTGTTGGCTGCTGCTTGTCTGGCAGAGAAGGCTGCTCATCGTCGGAAGGAACTGGATGAATCTCCACTTCTGAAACTGGTTGGCTCTCATCCACTTCAACTCCCTCCACTCCTGCCTCCACCTCGTCTTCCTCTACCTTTGCCCCTTCTTCCTCCACTGCAATGAACTCGAAGTCGAACTGTGGAGGAAAAATAACACGTTCGTTTGCATCATGCTCCCACCTCAGTTTGATCTGAGGACGGAAGTCTGCTGACATGCTCTCACCGTCTTCCTCCACTCCTTCTTCTTGCTCGCCGAAGGTGATCTTCGTAATATCCACTTCGGGATATTCTACCTTCACCTTCTTCCTGCAGTCCGTGAATGCAATGATGGCAGTGGGCAGCCGGTACAAGTTGACGATGTTGTCAAACGAGCTGGAGTTGATGAAGTTGCTGATGTGCTCCTTCATCCCATTGTGCACCAAGGTCTGCACATTCTCCTTCAGCTCCACGAAAGCCTCCTTCATCAGCTTTATTTCTTGAGCCTGAGCCTCACACTCGCTTTCAGAGATCCTTCGTTTGCTTTCCTCAAAGACGAGCTTGGTGCTCAGGGAAGCCCTCTCCTGCTCCAACTGTTTCACAGTTGGAACCACCTCGTTCAACGACTCTTGCAGTTCTTTATTTTTCTTCTCCAGCTCCTCATTCTCCTTCTGCAGTTGGTCACACTGCCTCTGCAAGAGTGAGCGCTCCTTCATGCTATCCATGAACTCCTGGGCTAGACCATTCACCCAGCTCGCGCTCTGCAAATCACAGCAGAAGTTAAGAGAGAAAGAAGAGAAGAAGAAACAGATTAAATAAACAACCTCAATAATTTAACGTACCTTAAGAACGTGCTTCACAACAGACGCTCCACCATACCTCAAAGCCTCATCCCGCGCGTTGCGTTTGTCTACTTCGGGGAAGGTGCTGTTGATGAACCACCTAGCCCCCGTCATGTTCTTCGCCTCGAACAGGCTGCTCTGACACGCCACCGGGGGAATAGGGCCCTTTCCCTTACCAGGAGCTCGTACCTCAGCCCCCTCCTCCAACTTTCTAAGCTCAGGGTTCAGCTCCACAGGAGGAGGCTGAGGTACAAACTAAGGAACCTCATTCCCCCTCTCCTCCCCCTCCACCACTTTCTTCTTCTTCAGCAATGCCCTCATCTCCTCCCAACCCTTCCTCTTCAACTGTGGCACCTCCTCCTCTGTCTCAGCTGAAGTCGCGGGCACTACCTCTTTCCTAGCCCTCCCCTCATCCACTTGCTTGGTTGAAGTCCTTGACTTCTTCCTTGGCTTCTTGGGGATAGCCACTCCTCCAGCAGTGTTCAAAAACTGATCCATTTTAGCTGCAAAGCAAGAAAACACAATATTAATCACAGTTCTATACTCTACATTCAGTACTACAATGCAGAATTAAACCAACATTCACTTAAAGTGCTTGGCCCATAGAGCTCAGCAGCTTCTATGCATTGTGCACTGGTGAGGTCCATAATGTTCAATAAATCCCCCCCCTTCCTCACCAACTTCCTCACTTCTTCCTCCTCATCTTCGTTTAAACTAAACATATTCTAGTTGGCTCTTTTAGCCTTCCAGGATGCTAACTCCCTCACCTCGGCATCCCCCCTCCCCCACTCTGTATCATCTACAAAAAAGAATTTTTCCTTCCATCCTTTAATGGATGAAGGACCTGCAGTAAATAACTACCTACTCTCCTTATTAGCTACCCTAGGGGTGAAGTAATACCACCCCTTATCCCTCCTACTACCCCCCTTTAAAACGAAAAAGTACTTAAACATATTTACAGTTGGCACATTAATCCCCTTAGCTCGGCAATAGACTAAAAATCCTATTATTACCCTCATAGCGTTGAGGACTAATTGTGTCAACCCTATATTATAGTCTAACAACAAACCTACTAGCAACTCAGGAATTGGAAACCTCAACCCCGCTATCAGATAGTGGGAATATACGGGCATCCAATGATCCCAAGGAGCAGAACACACTCTCTCCTCTACCCTAGCTGGCCTAACTAACACTCGGGAAGAGATCTTGTAATTTTCTACTAAGTGACCCAGGCTATCCCTGGTCCTTAGTTCAGATCTATACTGCTTCACCTCCTCCACTATCTCTGCATTCACATCATAATCTCTCTCTCCTCTACCCTCTACTTCTACTACAGTGATGGGTATGCTATCTCCCTCAACCCCTACCACCTCATTCCCCCCAACCTCTACCACCTCATCTCCTCTCACCCCCTCCACCGTCTTCTCCGAACTAGATGGAGATGGACTACTCTCTGAGTCCATGCTCCCATAGTCTAGGGGCATCACCTCACTCCCTACTATACTTTCTGTTCCTTCTGAGGACATTTTCTCAAACTCTGCACAAAGTAGGGGGGAGGAATAAGTCAGGATCCCTT